GGTGATGAGGACGAGGATAAGGATAAAGATGAGGGGAGATGATGGTGAGCATGGTGATGATAATGAGGAGTAGGGGAAATAGGGTCAGCATGCACGGAATCATGGGGAAGAGCGAGGACGCGAGGACGGCGATGATGATGATGAGGATGAGGATGCGGATGATGATGATGATGATGATGATGATGATGATGATGATGATGATGATGCTGATGATGATGATGATAATACTGATGATGATGATGATGATGATGATGATGATTCTGACGATGATCATGATGATGCTGCTGATGATGATGATGCTGATACTGTTGATGATGATGCTGATGATGACGATGACGATGATCTTCGATGATGATGATGATGATGATTGCAACTGCAAGGAGGATGATGAGGAGAAGGAATATGATAATGATCTGAGGAAGAGTGATCACGACCATTCATAATTGGAGAGGGATATATATAGAAAGAGAGAGAGAGAGAGAGAGAGAGAGAGAGAGAGAGAGAGCGAGAGAGAGAGAGAGAGAGAGAGACAGAGGCAGAGAGAAAGAGAGAGAGATATTATTGCGTGTGCACATCATGTAGAGGCTCAGCTTAAGGGCTTAGGAGGAGAGGGAAAGGAAGAGGTGGGGACACGACCAACAGGAGGACAGAGGAATATAGTGAAGGTGGCTGAAGATGGAGGAGGAGGAGGCAGAGCAACGTCGTAGACGAACATGCTAGTGGTAATCATGAAAACGACGACGAGGATTACGACGATGTCGATGATGACAGTGAGAATGGCGACGACGACGAGGAGGATGATGAAGATGATGATTATGATAATGATGATGCTGATGATGATGATGATGATGATGATGATGAGGATACTGATGATGTTGATGATGATGTTGATTCTGTTGACGGTCATGACGATAATGACGGTGACGACAGCGACGACGACGATGACGGTGATGATGATGCTGATGATGCTGATCATGATGATGATGGTGGTGGTGATGATGCTGCTGATGCTGATGCTGATGCTGATGCTGATGCTCATGCTGATGCTGATGCTGATGCTGATGCTGATGATGATGATGATGATGATGATGATGATGATGATGATGATGATGATGATGATGATGATGATGATGATGATGATGATAACGGTGAGAGCTAGCAACATCACCGACCATGAGCATGCGGAGGTTCAGTGCGAGGAAGGAGGGTAAGGAGAACCAGGAGGAGGAGGAGGGCAATGAGACTGAGGAACGATGCCGATGGTGATAGTGTTGATGCTGGTGGTGGCGACGATGATGCCAACGATGACGACGATGATTACGATGACGACGATACTTGTGATGACGACGGTGACAATGATGATTGTGGTGATGATGATGGCGGTGATGGCGGTGATGATGATGAAGAACAGACTGTTTATGCTGCTGCTGCGGATGGTACTGCTGCTGAGGAGGGGGAGGAGGAGGAGGAGGAGGAGGAGGAGGAGGAGGAGGTGGAGGAGGAGGAGGAGGAGGAGGAGGAGGAGGAGGAGGAGGAGGAGGCGGAGAAAGAGGAGGAGGAGGAGGAACGAGCGCGCGGTGCGGAGGTCTGGGCGGCTCAGCGGCAAGGCGCGAGAGTTCGGCCCCCTCCAGGCGCCAGCGCCGAGTCCAGCTCCTCCTCTATCTCCTCCTGCTGCTGCTGATCCTCATCCTTCTCCTATTTGACTTTCTGTATGTTTTAGCCTCATCCTCCCCCTCTCCATGGACGCACGCTCCACTTCCCTCCTCCTCCTCCTCCTCCTCTTCGTCCTCCTTGGGCACGCTCCACCTCCTCCCGCTCTCCTTGTAGAGACACAACGATCAACTACATAAGCACAATCTTTCGGAGGCCCGCGCGAATTCCTCGGGTCGGCACCAGATTCCCCAGGGCGTGTGTTGGAGGCGCTGCAAGAGGTGTGGGGAGCGGTGCCCAGCACCGACCCAAGAAGGCCGCGCGGACCTCCGAAGCTGTGATTGGTGTATGTAAGCGCGACGTGCGCGTTTTTCCTCCTCCTCTCCTCCTCCTTCTCCTCCTCCTTCCTCCTTCCTCCCCTTCCTTCTCCTCCTCTTCTCCTCCTCCTTCTCCTTCTCCTCCTCCTCTCCTCTCCTCTCCTCCTTCCTCCTTCCTCCTCTCCTCCTCCTCCTTCTCCTCCTCCTTCCTTCTCCCCCTGTTCCCCCCTCCTCCTCCTTCTCCTCCTTCTCCCTCTGTCCTTTGCCATTTTGGCTCAAGTGGTTTCCACTAGAGCGGGCAGCCTTTTACCGCGGGCGGTCCTGAGTGTCGTGCTCAGGCGGACACTATCGCATTTCTTTTTTCGCCAACCTTCTGTTTCAGAACTCTCCCAAGCTCACCATGGCTGCAATGCGAGCGCTGATGTACGAATTCATGTCGACAGTCGACACGAAGATCCAGGGAGTTGTCGCTCCCATCACCGCGAACATGAACACGAACAACGCGGAGCTCGTCAGGCAGATCAACCTCGCCCGTGCCGGGTTGAAGGAGCTCGACACCAGGACCAAGGCGCTCGAGTCCAGCGACAATAGCTCCGTGCCCCCTTCATGTAGCTTATTCGCGACGGACCGATCGAAGGCAAGACGGGTAGGGAGCTCGTCTGGGGCGCCTTCCACTATCGTCCCGACCGACGCGAGGAAGGTGTGGATCGGGACTTGGCCTCGCCCAGTCCTTGACAAAGTTCGACGAGCCCACTTCGAGCAGGTGAAGCCAACTTTCCCATCGCCGTCAACGCGGAGGGCATCTTCCAGACGCCTGACCAGGCCATGGAGTTCCGCCTGCAGGTCGGTGCCACCACCATGCAATGGGTCGACTGGCGGAACCAGAAGCAGTACCCGCTCCGCGCTAGGGGCGACTTTCCTGAGGACGTACGTGACAAGCAGCGTGCATTCTCGAAGCTCTTCATCCCAATTCGCGACCTGTGCCAGAAGAGTTCGAATTGGTCTCCCAACTGTCGGGTCGGAGTCAATGGTTTCAAGGGCAGCCTCTTCGTGACCAACGGCGACGACATCTGGGCGCTCGTGACGATCAACCAGATTTCGATCGACAAGTTCAACTTTGTCCCTGTCGGCGACGAGCTCTCCGACTGGGGTATCACCGTGCCGCAGGTGGAGGCGATCATCTCGGCCGTGCAATAGGAAGATCCTCTACGGCACTCTCGTCATGATACAGGTGGGGGTGAGCCTGCTCAAGATGACTCTCGAGCGCAAGATGGGGTTCATGAGTTGTTCCTTTCAGAAAACGTCTTTAGTATCTGTTCCTGGAACTGTCAGACCCTCTTCTACTCCATCCACTCCCCCGACACGCGCAGCAAGCCAACGGTTGACATCGTGCGACGGCTCATAGGCAAGCACTCCATCGCGTGCCTGCAGGAAGTCCACGGCCGTCCTGGGGCTCTGGGGACTCTCCGAAGCGAATTACCTGAAATTGAGGTTTTCGAGTCGTTCGATTCCTCTGAGAGCGCCGGCAGCATTGTCACGCCTGTTCAGTCCAAGCTCTTCTCTCAGTTCAGCGCCTCCTCCTTTTCTGAAGTCGTCCACGGTAGAGTTTATGTGCTGTCCCATCATTGGGCCGCGGGGGCGACTTCAAGTTGCCGATGTACATCTCGTGCCCGACTGGCGCGAGTCGCGCGCCAAGGCTGTCCTCTTCTCCCTTCGCGCGTTCCTGGCCACGGCTCGGTGCGCCACTATCTTCCTCGCGGGGGACTTCAACTTCTCGGTGTCTGGGGAGAGCAGATTTGTGGTGGGGGCTTGCGAAACTCTCGCGTCGTTCTCTCGTATAGCTAAGCATTGCGATACCATATTTCCGACATACCTCGGGATCGACCAACCACACTACACACACCGTTCGAACGTTAGATCTGCTCCGAGCTTCGCCCGACTCGATCGCATTTTCACCAGCCCCCGACCCCGATCGCTCTGGACTTCAACCCGATCTCCACCGCCGACATATATATCGCAGATCGGAGTCTTCCTTCGGATCACGCTCCTCGTCATCTCGTTCTCCGCCCCCTTCATCGGCCTAACGGTTCTTACAGTGATAACGAAGATGATTGTGCGAACCCTCTTCCTCCTATCCCGCGCTGGGTTCTCAAGCGCCGGCAGTTCCGCACCTTTTTCGATTCGTTGGTGGAGGCCAGCGAGATCAGCCAGCGCCCACCGACTGCCGCCCGCGAGGTGAAGGACCTAATGCATGCTGCGGCTCGCGAGGTTCAATATTATGTTGAAGAGCACGGGGCCATATGCAACCCATCCAAAGTCTCCCTTTGTCTGAGACATCTGAGGGCCCATCGAGGGGGCCACGAATGAGGAGCTCTGAAAGCCACTGCTGGTTTCGAGGAGTTGAAGGAGTTTTACGACAGCGACTGCATGGTTTGGTCTGACTTCCCTGGGTTTCTGGAACGCTTTCGGCAAATCCTGATCCGGGAGTTCACCCTTGAGGAAAACACCATCCGACGGGACCCCGACCTCACGAGTTCCCAGAAGGACTCCCACTTGGCTCGTGTCAGGCGGATGTCTGCTGCGTGGGCTAGGACTCGCCCCAAGATTTTCTTGGCCTCGGTTGTGGGGCCAGGCGGCGTGCGCACCACCGGGCCGGATAAGATGGCCCAGGCGCTCGTGGACTACTGGGGGGCAGTCTTTACGACCGCGCCGCACCCGGCTGCGCGCCTGTCTCCTCTGCTGGATGGGGCTCTCGCCAGTATCCAGCACCGTGGGCCACCTTGTCAGTTCGACCCGCACGCGCCACGACTGGATTCTTTCGATGGAAGCGTTCTGTTCCCTCGTCTGCCGCAAGGGGGATTCGGCTCCTGGGCCCGGCGGTATCAGTTGCGCTGGTTGGAGGGTGATCAGGGAACTAGGCTACGACGTCCTCTACTCCCTCTATATCTTCTTCCTCGAGTTTAACCCGCTCGACCCCACCTTTAACTTCTGCAAAATGGTCTTCCCCCCGAAGGGCGCTATATCTGAGGGTGGGGCTGAAGCCAGACCCCCGAGTATTACTAGACCGTTGTCCTTAAGTAACACCGACAACAAAATCGTCTCTGCTGCTGTCTCTCACCCGCTCAATGCCGTTGCCGCCGACATCGTCGATTGCTCGCAGAGGGGATTGGTCGCTGGTCGCTCGCTTATCGATAACCTCTTGAGGTAGACGCTCATTGACACTTTTGGGGCCAACTCTACGACCTTAAGGACAGCGGAGTCACGCTGTTCGATTTTAAGCAGGCCTTCCCGTCGGTCTTTCACGACTGGATCCAGGCCCGTAGGGAACGCCACCGAAAAAAATATTCACAATAGCGGTACTCACAGCTGCATATGGCTGGGTCCTTCGCTAGGAAATGTTCGATGTTTCTGGCTTCTCGCGTTTTCAGGCTTCCAACGGTCCAAAAAAGAAAGACCACCCAAGAGCCCTTCAGGACGGCCCCGAGACGGGCCAAGAAGGCTCCAAGACTGCCGAAGAAGCGCCCAGGACAGCCCCAGACCATTTCAGAACAGGCCCAAGATGGGCCCAACAGCGGGAGCAGGAGGCTTTCAGAGATCTCCGAGACGCCTCCGGGACCCCCCAGAGGCCCCCAACACACCCCCGATCCCTGAGAGGCCCCAAAAAGACCCCGACGAGGCTGCAAGAACAGCCCAAGAGAGCTGCGAGAGCCGTCCCGAGAGAGCCCAAAGAGGGTAACATCGTTGACATCCCATCGTTTTTATAATGTTTTTCGCCTTCTCACGTTTTCCCGCTTCCACCCCTCGAATCGAAGATCAAGGATTTGGAAAAAAGGGGATTCCCCGAATTGTTGTTTTCCTCCCCCCAAAGTGGCACTCCTACTCGGAGATCCCACACATCCCTTGACATCTGGCCAGTACCGCGCCTCCTGGCTTCCCGGGGGGCCCCCAAGACGCCCAAGGACAGCCCAAGACGACCCCAAGGAGCCCCCAGAACGTAAAGAACGGCCGAAGACGCCCTCAAGCAGTCCAAAACACCTTTCCGACAAATCCCCAGGCCTACAGGAGGCCTCCAAAAGGCCCCAAGAGAGGTCCGAGAGGCGGACCGCTGGAATCTCGAAATATGTATATGTATATGTTATGCATATGTATATGTATAGGTATAGGTATATGTATAGGTAGTTGTATATGTATATGTATATGCATATATATATATATACATATGTATATTTATATGTATATGTATGTGAATGTATATATATGTGTGTATATGTATATATGCGTGTACATGTATTTGTATATGTATATGTATATGTATATGTATTTGCATGTGTACATGTATATGCATTTGTTTATGTATATGTATGTGTATTTGTATATGTATTTGCATATGTATTTGTATATGTACACATGTATATGTATATGTGTATGTATCTGTATATGTATATGTACATGTACATGTATATGTATATGTATATGTACATGTATGTGTATATTCATCTGTATATGTGCATGTATATGTATGTGCATGTGTATGTATGGGTTTATGTATGTATGTATGCATGTTTGTATGTACGTATGCTTGTATGCATGTATGTATACATGATGTATGTATGTATGTGTGCATGTATGTGTGTATATATGTATATGCGGCAGCAGAACTATCACCCCAACGTAACATTCTGAGTCGTAAACGACGTGCTTCGTGGACAGCAGCGATCTTCCTGTTCTTGTCCGGTCAGGTTTTGTGATTCACCCGCTGTGTAGTGAATCAGCTCAGGGTTTCACCTGCTCCTTTTTCTTCTTTTTGGTACTTGCCTCCTGTTGGCACCCATCCGTTGCTGTATCCCGCGGATGCCGCCGTCAATTGGTAGACCTGCCTTTGGCGCTGCATGGTTCGCACTGGCGGCACAACATTTGAATTGATTTAGGCGTGTCATGTAGTGCAGCACATAAATATGACAGAGCTTAGCAGTTACCCGAGATCCTGGAGCCGTGTAAAGGCGAACACCGTGCCCAAATCTCAATGTTGCATTTGATTTGTCACTCTTGCCAAGCTCGCGCACTCATTATGTAACATGGCGAACATGAGAACATGTTTTATGTTGTTACCGATTTGCCTTGAGCCTCTCACTTCTTCGTCGTCAAGAAAGGGGGCCCCACGGGAGGCCCAAGATGGCCCCACGATGGTGCCAAGAGGGGTCGTGGGATAGTGGCTTGGAGGGCGTGGCTCCTAACATGCCCCCAAAGATGCCAAGCAACCCACGAAGCTCCCGAGTGGCCCCGAAGAGACGCCGAGAGGCCCCCAAGAGGCATTGCAGAGACTTCGAGGGGCTCATGATAATCACGCCGCGAGTCTACGACAAGCGTCCAAGACGCCCACGAGACGCTCCTAACGAATGATCCATGCCAGGGGTTTGCCGATGGGGCCGTCGGTTTTGGGGCACGATCCGTGTGAAGAGTGAGTCGAAATACGCGGGGGGGCGCTATGCGAATCTTCCCACTAGGGCAGCACGTGGAACTACATCCTTCTGGGACGCGATCCGTGTCAAGGATGTGCCGAGATGGGCGGAGGGGCGCGTGCGAAGTTCGTCCCTGGCACTGTAAATGGAGCTCCCAGGGGGGGGGGGGGGGGGGGGCGCGATCCGTGTGAGGGGCGTGCCGAGATTGGCGGGGCGATGCTATGTGATCCGCGTGGTTGGTATTTTTCCCAACCCTCCTGTGTTGGGTACTCGTTTTGAATAGAGCACTGTGGTGTGGTCTCCACCTTCCTCCTCCTCCCGCCTCCTCTCTCCCCTCTTCGTCTCTTCTCTTGCTCTTACCTCCTCATCCTCTTCTCTTCGCTCCTCCTCTCCTCGCTTGCTTTTTACCTATCTTTACCTCGCCATCTCTGGGGCGCTGCGATCTGTGAAACTGTCGCCACTTTCGAGGGCTGCTGGGGTGGCCAGCGAAATGACGCCCCACGGGGACTCAGATTAGACCTCGCCATCCCTGGGGGGCTGCGATCTGTGAAACTGTCGCCACTTTCGAGGGCTGCTGGGGTGGCCAGCGGAGTGACGCCCCACGGGGACTCAGATTAGACCTCGCCATCCCTGGGGGGCTGCGATCTGTGAGACTGTCGCCACTTTCGAGGGCTGCTGGGGTGGCCAGCGCAGTGACGCCCTACGGGG